TGATGACCTTTGGAATTATTTTCAGACGGGACTCATTCAGAAAACTCAGGATTGCTGACGGATTCAATTATGTGGTCTTTTGAAGTAAGAGAAGAGGATCAACCATGAAGTTGAGTGGTGGAGGAGTCATGAATCTCTGGAAGCAATTCCTGCCACCTTGTCAGGTCTCATTGGTGGGCAGTCTGGACTGATATTAGGGCCTCTCACAGTATACCACCATCCTCTGAGCATTAGTGAGGTAGCCATGATTCTTCTGTCTCCCGTACATTGGAGATAAGTGGAGAAAACTAGTCAAGACTGCAAATTACGGTTTATATCCTTTAAAAAAATATTTTCACATGAACAATCACCGCTGAAATTCACTGCCAACAGTAATAGTCGTCCAATAATACAAAAAATATGAGCCCTCTTGATTCTCAAATGCTAGAGAGTCAGGGGTTCAAACCGGACATCCGCCAAGAAACATTCGGCAGAGTTTGGTCTCAAGTCGGCATACTGAGCGTACTGTGCTGTATCCTGGATGGAACCCAATGGATTAGGCCATTTCAGTACAAAACTAAAGTATCACAGGATTTCCGGGCCAGTAATTATTATAAACACTGCCACGAGGGGTTCACTAGCCAGTTTCAGTGGATGTGCTTTAATCTATAATTCACAACAATGAAAAATACATTTCAGAACACTGTTGACGACATTGAAGGGAGTCAGCATAGAAACAGAGTCTGAAGCTGACGGAATATAGTTGGCAAAATAGCGAATAAGCAGCAAATTAGCACAGGGATTCAAAAACCGCCAGGCCAGAGGGAAAAAAAAATGCTTTCCAAGTGCCATTGGGGGAAGAGTTTCGGCAAAACAATGGTTCAAATCTGACTTTCTGAGGGGAAGATCCCCTTCCCACTTCCTCCTTCTGCCACTAGGAGGTGATTGCGAAACGTCTTTGATCTCGCTTTTTCCCCCCAAATTTATCGCTCTCCATAATCCATGACAAAAAATAATGTGATTTAGAGTATCTCCAAATGGCAGAGAAGCAGCCGACAGAAATTAATAACTTAGCATAAGCAAAACGAGAGAAAAAAAGAAAAGAACTGGCAGAAAAATACACAAATCACCAATCAGACACCCCAGTATCCAGTAACACAAACACTGAGAGCTCTCCCAAACTCGCCATCACCGCTCACACCCCAACAGCAGGGTTAAACTCTCTTCCAGCTTTCTTTAAAAATATAGAAGGCATTCACAAAATGTTCATAGCCAGCTGTGATCTTATTTATGTGGACACCATTCCTCTGTTAGTTTGCCTCCAAACTGTACTGAACCCATGCATTAAGTTCTTCCTCTTCTCCAACTTCGAACTCTAAATGACCACTTATTCTGTTGCTGGGGAAACCACGGGTGGCCGCAGACATTACAATAAGTAGATTTATTAGGAGAGGGTATCGACTCCCTTTCGAAGCTGAACAGGACTCAGGAAGGAACCAGTCGCAGATACCAAAGCAATGAATAGGTGCTTCTATTAAGCAGAACAATCTTAGGTGAGTACAACAACACTAGGAGCCAATCACTGGAAACACATAGGAGGTGAGCAGGCAGTCAAAGGACCCAGGAAAGGGTGTGGTCATAAATGGGGTAACGGAAAGCAATTAGGTTCAGAACAGGGAGTCAGAGAGAGAGGGACCCACAAGGGAAAGGTAAAGGAAATCTAAATGAAAATAAACTGCACAAAGCAATAAATAAACCTCCAAAATAATACATATTATGAACAAAAATAAGCAAAAAACACTCGACAGAACCAAAACCATAACTTTGCGTTGTCTTACTTTGATATTGGGTGTTTAATTAACATAAGACCAATTCATGGATGAAAAACTAAACTAGATAAAGCTTCAACATAACATAACATAGACGTGACGTAGCATGAGTGGTGAGAACAGGCCATTCAGCCTGACTGGCAAGGGTTTAGCCAGGCACTAGTTTACCTGTCTTTCAGGGGGGCGTTTAAACATTTAGACAGGTTTAGACAGCCAGAAATCAAATTAGACGAGTTACTTAAAAAGTCACACCCATCTAAACCAGTCTAAATTTTAAAATGCCCCTCTGAAAGACGGGTAGACTGGTGCCTAGCTAAAACCTTGACAACTAGGCTCGCAATTTTCATGAAAGAGAACCTAACTCTTTGGATACTTAAGGGCTAGGTGATATCTAGCACAGCACCAAGCAAAGTAAGAAAAAAAAATGCCATAATTGTACTGTATTTGAGTGCCACATCCCAGATTACGGCGAAGGGGTGTGACAAAGGGGATCTTTAAAGACATGAGGTTGTGTCCCTCCCTAAAAAGATTTGGTTAAAAAGGAGGGCCAGATAGATTTTTTAATTAGCCATGGTTGGCACAGCGTGCAGCTTCAGCTAGTTTCGAGGAGCAGCTAGTTTAGTGGACCAGCTAAACACAGTGTTAAGTTGCTTGTCAGTTGACAACGTTGGTGGTCTGTGTTAAAAAAACGTACGCCATTCCCACCAATCCCAGCTGGACCGCTGGCCCCTGACTCAATATCACTCGCCAGTCTCACATCACAGACCTGGCAACCCAGGGGCAACGGGGCAGTAAACAGGAGACGTGAGGCAGGCAGGAGAGGCGGGCGTCTGCAGTTTTATAAAGGAGCGGCGGGGTCCTGGAAAGCTCATTGGAGCATTCCGTTCCTTCTTACTCTCCTGCTTTCTCTTTCTCTCTTTAATGTAAATACGGGGAGAAAAAGGCGCCGAGATGCAGCAGTTTCCGAAGCTGTTTTGCTGCAGTCCAAGGTTACTTCCGCGGAGCATTGTTCCAGGGTTCTTCTGATGTGTGCCGGGTCACGCTTGTCAAGCGCCCCACCTCCCCTGCGCGAGAGGAGGCGATGCAGATGGTTCCGAACAACAGCCCGAGTCCAGAGAGCTGGCGCATCTGCTCGCACTTATCCGAGCTGCCTCTGCTCGCCTCCCTCTCTCCTCTCTTCCCTTTGTCATCCTTGTTGTTTCCTTCTCTTTGAAACTTAAAATATCTGCACAGATTGTGTACTGTTCACCCAGTTACCATGGAGATTTCTGTGCTGAGACGGAGCAGAAGATGGGGCTTTTTTATCGGCAAAAGCAGAGAGAGAGAGAAAGAGAGAGAGAGAGAGAGGGAGGGAAAATACACAGGGGAGAAGAGCCGAGTGGAAAACAGCCTTGGCCTGGTAGTTGGAGGTCCTGCTCTCTGTCTTGGTTTGTTCCCACGACACAGCCCAGATTGATAGCAGGAGCAGAGAGGCTTTGGACTTCTCGAGGTGAAGCTCATATGGTCCACAGATTCTAGCATTTAAGCAGAACCATCAGCGTGTCAAGCTAACATCTCCTCCGATCATATAGATCCGCTGAAACTGGGCTTTATTAAATGCCTTTGTGATAGGACACGGGGCAAGATGACCTCTCTTTCAAGGGTGGTCCTTTAGACCCCAGTCTCAAAGATAAAACAGGTTAATGGGTGCAGGGAACAGGAAACTCCCTTATGGGAACTGGCCTCTTCCATTTTAGTGCTAATGGTTGTTATGACACTTACTTTTGGCAGAAATCACACAAGTTTTACCTCCGATTTCATCTCCTCTATTGATCAGTGCTTCAACTGTGTTGCTGTAACTGTATGGTAATGTTTCCCTGGTGTGCGCTATCGTGTTTCAGAATTCAGGTCAAGTAACAAGGTCAAGTTTTCATCTTTGGTTTTTCATTTTTTATTCTCGCGCACTTTAACATTGCAAATACCTTCGGCAAGCTCAAAAAAAAAAAAAAAATGCTATAAACACAGCAAGCACACACCCAATTAGCTGTTTCAGTTCAAAGAAAAATGCATCCAAGACTTTTTTCAAATGCAGTGCACAGGACTGGTATCTGAAGTTTGACCTTGCTCACTCTTGCGCGTTTGAGTGTGAGTGTGTGTGTGTGTGTGTGTGTGCGTGCGTGTATGTGTGTGTGTAAGGGATGCAAACAGCAATAGACATTCAGTATAGACCACTGAAGAGTTGATGGGTAGAGCAGGGGCAGAAGGCAGTGTAGCACTGGAGGGGAAAATTCCCAGAATCCTCCACTCCACAGACTCTCTCCCTCCACAGTTGAAGTTACAATACTCAATTTTGGTGCTTATAGAAGTCACATGATTACATTTAGGGAAATTGTAGAGGGAATTCTGTTTCTGAGTTCTGCCAGAAAATAAATAATTTGGGACATAATGCTTTCACAAATAAATCCTTCAGAGTTCCGCCTATTCCCTTAATTTCAAAAAGTAGATCTCCACCAGGGACCCTGAGCGAGAGGCCATCTTATGTAAGTTGCAAGAACTCTGCCACTTTCACTATTACACCATAGTGCAGTTTGAATTTTTACAGCATCTTTCTATGATTTTGACAGAGGGAGTTTAAAAGATCAAACTCACTGTTTAGTCAACTCACCCCAAGATTATTCCAGAAAATGCAGAGGTCATACAATTCTGGAATTGTTTAGCGCACAATAAGAAAATTGCAAATATCACAAACAGTCAGAGGTAAAACTTACAAGGCAGACTAAAACTGAAATATTCATGACACGTTATGCTCCAGCAACCTGTTCTGAGTCGCTGACTTTGCTGAACCGTGTAAGAAAACACAATGGCACAGCAAATATTTTTCTTCAGAAAATAAAACAAAACAAAACATTTCCTGACTTGTCGTCTGGAAATTTTCTTAAAGAGTTTGGGCAGAAATATGCAGTCTTTACTAGAAATATTTTCTTTTGCAAGAAATTGTTGATCCACAGTAGTTATTAAAAGTTTACAGTCTAAGAGCTTGCTGCTCAGTCACTGACAGAGGAAACTATGGACCTGTGGATTTTGGGTTCAGAACAAAAAAACAATGAACTGAACTTACTACTAAAGAAAGAAATACTGTATTTCCTCAACTGCTCCTGTATCTACTAATAATAGAGACAAATGTAGAATTGATAGTGTGGCAGGCTGAAGGCCGGCCCAGGCGGGGAATTGAACCCCAGATTCTCGGGTAAGAGTCAAACGCGCTGACCATGTCGCCAAAGATCCAGGCTCTTTGGTAAGGTAGCCAGGGCGCGTACTTATTAGGAGGCATTTCTAGTGACAGGACCCATCAGCTGTCACATCTCTCCCCCTATTTCGGGAGCGTGTCCTCACACTCCATGCTATACGCATGCTGCCATCCATCAGGATCCCCCAGATCCTGCCGATTACGCCAGGATGTGGCAGGCCGAAGGAGGGCCCGAGCGGGGAATTGAACCCCCGACTCCCAGGTAAGAGTCAAATGCACTGAACCTGTCGCCAAAGAGCCAGCCTCCTTGGCAAAGTAGCCAGGGCGCGCACTTATTAGGAGGCATTTCTAGTGACAGGACCCTTCAACTGTAGGAATAGGTTTACTGATAGCAATAGGGTAACAGTGGGGATGGAACCCCAGAGGAAGAGGGCACAATTCAGTTCAGATGTAGTAACCAGATGGAGTGCACACTTTGCCAGACGTTAACTGTTCACATGGAGGATGAAGTAGCTTGAGGGGAACTTGTTCCAATACTGATGACCGTAGATGGATTGGGAGTTTGTTCCTAACAAACTGGACAGAGGAAGGGACTTGGAAAGATTTAACAAGAACGCTGTCCCAATTCTAGACTTTGAATTAGGCTTGGGACCTTAAACTCGACAAAGGAGGTGGCTTGAACCGAGTTTACTTGAACGCAGTCCCAATCCTGGACCCTGATAGGCTTGGAGGCTTGTTCTAATTACCTAAGAGCAAGGCATCCTGAAATTGTCATCATTAAAGGTTATATTTTAATTCATAAAGATGAAAGTTTCTATTAGGAATACTGACTGGTTCTAAGCACAAATAGCAAATTACAATCCAGCAGCTTGCAACTGAAAGCAGGAGGCTTAAATACATGTCACATATGCATCAGGAAGTGACACTGAAATGAGACACAGTCGGGGAAGCGAACACATGTGAGACGTAAACCAATCAACGGTGACATAATTCTAATAGAGACGCAAGATGCTGAATGGGTAGAACGGAAGGCATTCACATGAGCGCTGTGACAGCTACATGCAATAGAGAACCGTTAGAAATCCACACGCTAACGTGTTTCAATGCAGTTCGCCAAGTAATCTCACTGGCATAAACCATTTGTTGCATAGAGTATGAACAAATGCCTACAATGTGTTAAAATTGGATATCCAGCGGTGTTTTGTGACCATTTGATGGGATTTGGTGCAACTTTGTTTTTGGGAGGGGTCTGTCAATTGTTTTACACATTTTACTTGTGGGATGCATACTGTCATCCAGGATTTTGGACATTATGCATGAGGGGTAACAGAAATAATGTGAAGTCAAGGAAACCTGGCCATTGATATGCATTACGTCCAGTTTCATGGACATGGCTTACTTGAGCTATTTACCTAGCATGGAAAATGTCCAATTTTCTGACAGAGCATATAATTAGGTGCAACAAATACACATGTATTAGAAAGTTAATGTGTTTCAGTGTGTGCTATATTATGCATTTCATTCCTCTAACAGGAAAAAGTTTGATCAAAACTTGAACAATATAAGAATACTTCTGACCATCGTCAGCTTTCCTCTTACTCGTGGATGCTACCATTGTGATTGTTTGTGGTGAATCATGTGACTAATCAGAGAGGCACCTATTGGGGAAATTCTGAACTGGTAATGTTCGATAAAATGTACATTATGTGATCTCAGGGTATCTATGAGCCTAGATAATATAAACCCCACTGAAAATATGTCGAAAATACTGGACAACATGCAACAAAAGGTTAAAACCATTGCTGTCAATATATTGGCATTCCTGGTTAGCCGCATTGTGCAGACACCCCTGGTGAAAATGCCTGCTGTGAGCCTGTTCCAATAATTTGGACATGGTTGGAGGGATTATTGATCATTGGGTTTGCCTATATGGGCTGTATATATGGGCTGCCCTCCCCACTTCAGAACACAGGATTTTGATGGGTTTTAAGACCAGAGACTGAGCTAGCCACTGCAGGAAATGCACACAGCTTTTTCTGTTTCTATGTGGATTTTAATGTACTGTTTTTCTGCTTGAGAATCAATATATGACCAAGTTTTAGCGCCCTCCACACAGAGACAAGACATGCAGCTGAAATTTCCAGTCATGGTGAAAAATAATCTCCATATGATTGTTCATAACTATACCCCAGACATCCAACTGCAAAAGGTCCAAAACACCAAAGACCTCCTCCATATGTGACTGTAGGTGTGAGGTACTTTCTTTTTCACAGCTAAACATCCCTAAGGCGAGTTTTGCCAAAAATTTCCTTTTTTAACCCATCTGACAATAGCAATCTCTTCCAGGCAAAGTGATAATCGTGATTGGCATACTCCCGATGTTTGGATTTGTTTTGTTAGCATGGTCTTTGTTCATACAGCACTACCTGAAGAGTTAACAGCATCTGAGATGGCAAGTTATTGTTATATTTAGGCTGCAATTCCTGAACCGTAATCCTAGAGTTCTTTATTGCCTCTCCATGCTGAGAGATTTTTTTTTACCAATACGATACTTTTAGGACCCCTTTATATGAACTGTGAAGGTTAGCTTCTGTCTGACTCTTTTGAATTGGGCATTCATTTTTTAGTGCCCCAGTACAACAAATAGTGATGGAATGACACAATGTAGTTCCTTTTAGTCCAAGAAGAACTTAACTACATATAAATATTGCCAAATTAACATTTAAAAAATACAACCCGATTCTGAAATAGATGGGACTAAGTGTAAATTGTGAATAAAATCAAAATGCGATTCAAACCACACCAGCCAGTATTTTTTTTTCATAAGAGAACAGAGATAACATAGCAAATGTTGAAACTGAGAAATTTAACGATTTGATCCACAAAATGAACTCATTTCAAATTAGATGGCTGCTACAGGTCTCAAAAAGGTGAGGACAGGGGCCTGTTTACCATGCTGTAGCATCCCCTCTTCTTTTTAACACAGAGTGGAGGCGTCTGGGCATTGAGGAGACAAGTTTCTTGAGTTTAGCCATTGGAATTTGATCCCACTTTTGTTCAATACAGGCTTCCAGCTGCTGGAGAGTTTTGAGTCTCCTTTGATGGACTTTTTCGTTTAATTATGCGCCAAATGTTCTCAATCGGTGAAAGATCAGGACTGCAGGCAGGCCAGTTCAGCACACGGACTCTTCTACTACGAAGCCATGATGTTGTAATAGATGCAGTATGTGGTTTTGCATTGTCCTGCTGAAATACACAAGGCCTTCCCTGGAATAGATTTCATCTGGAGGGGAGCATATGTTGCTCTAAAACCTTTATATACCTTTCAGCATTCATGGTGCTTTTTAAAACATGCAAATGTCCCACACCATATGCATTAATGCATCCCCATACCATCAGAGATGCTGGCTTTTGAACTGAACGCTGATAACAGGAAGGGTGGTCTTTCTCCTCTTTAGCCCGGAGGACACCATGCCCATGATTTCCAACAAGAATGTCAAATTTGGACTCGTCTGACCACAGGACACTTTGCCACTTTGCTACAGTCCATTTTAAATGAGCCTTGGCCCACAGAACATGGCGGCACTTCTGGATCATGCTCAACAATGGCTTCCTTTTTGCATGATAGAGTTTTAGGTGGCATCTGTGGATGGCATGGCGGACTGTGTTTACAGACAGTGGTTTCTTGAAGTATTCGTGGGCCCATTTAGTAATGTCAATGACAGAATCATGCCGGTGAGTGATGCAGTGGCATCTGAGGGCCTGAAGATCACGGGCATCTAATAAAGGTCTTCGGCCTTGTCCCTTACGCACAGAGATTTTTCCATTTTCTCTGAATCTTTTGATGATGTTATGCACTGTCGATGATGAGACCTTCAAAGCCTTTGCAATTTGACATTGAGGAACATTGTTTTTAAAGTATTCCACAATTTTTTACGCAAACCTTCACAGGTTGGAGAGCCTCTGGCTATTCTTTACTTCTGAGAGATTCAGCCTCTCTAAGACAACCCTTTTATAGCCAATCATGTTACACACCTGATGCCAGTTAACTTAATTACTTGCTAAATGTTCTTTCAGCTGATTCTCCTATACATTCATTGCCTTTTCAGCCCTTTTTTTGCCTGTGTCCCAACTTTTTTGAGACCTGTTGCAGCCAGAAAATTTGAAATAAGCTCATTTTGTGGATAAAAATGTAAAATGTCGGGCGCCCCGGTGGCTCATCGGTCAAAGCGCGCGCACCATTGAGGCTGTGTCCTTCCTGTGGCGACCTGGGTTCGATTCCGGCTCGGGTCATTTGCCGCATGTCTTCCCCAGCTTTCCTGTCACTCTCTACTACACAACTGTCTAATAAAGGAGAAAATCTTAAAAAAATTTAAAATGTCTCAGTTTCAACATTTGAAATATTATCTATATTCTATTGTAAATAACATATTGGCTCATGAGATCTGGAAGTCATTGCATTTTGATTTTATTAACAATTTACACTTCATCCCAACTACTTCGGAATTGGGGCTGTGTATATTCACCATGACCACAAACGGTGCCAATACTTTTCACACATATCCTACGTGAAGGAGATAAGAAACTCTCAAACAAAAGAAACATTTCACTGAAATAAAATTATAAGATAAAGTTGAACTTCGGTCTGAAGCATTGCTCTTCATTTTTAATCAAGGGTGCCGATAAAACTGGGCCTAACTGAAAAACGAGAGCAGGAGTGTCACAGAGAATAGGATAAAGAGTCAGAAGAGAGGAAGTGTGTGTGTGTAGGCGTGCATGCGTAAGTGGGCATGCATACATGGGCATTCCTGTGTGAGTGTGTGTTTGCATGAGCTCACATGCATTGATAAGTCACAACATTAAAACCACCTGCCTAATATTGAGCAGGTCCCCCTCATATTGCCAAAAAAAAAACAGGAAGAAAAAAAAACAGCTCCAGCAAACTGAGGTTCACGTGAATTCCCTGAACCAGGGTTTCCCAGCAGAACATTTCCCAGAACATCACATATTCACCATCAGCTTGTGTTCTTCCCACCTTACTG